ATCCTGATACAATCCTGATCCATAATTTAAATATAAAACACAGGGGTGATATTTAATGTCATAATGCATCAATATTTATTAATAATTACATTTAATTATAAAGAAATTCTTCGTTATAACTGAAAAAAATTCGTTATAAAAAAAATCCGTTATATCGAGAGGCATTTTTATATAAGAAATTCACACACTTTACTTCGTACTACGTTATATGGTAAATAAATAGTAAACTTCGTTATATCAAGGTTTTTTTCATATTTAAAATCGGTACCACACTGTATGATCTGTTATATCATGTTATTCGCTATATCGAGGTTCGCTGTAGAGAGGGGTGACTGTATTAAAATCATAAAGATATTAAATTTTTAATATTTAAATAAAATTATTTATTTTCTTTAAATTTATTTAGTAGATTACAACAACAAAAAATCAGATAACTTAAATATCATCTTTCAGTTAAATTACTACTTAACTATAAAATCAATTCCTTAAAAAAATAAACTATTAACTTTATTTAAAAAAATAATTTTAATCTTTTCAAATCTGAAAAATAATAAAATAATTTGTTATAATAATTTAAGTCTTCAGATTTTAATCTTTTTATATAGAGAAACATTTTGCCAGTTATTTTGGTATTGTATATGATTTTATTATTAAACTCATTTATTATTAATATTGATGTCAAGCAAGCAAATCAACAGGATTATCATTGAACATGCATATATGAGATCAATTTTGAGTAACTAATTAATGGGTTGAGTTTTAATTCACAATCAACAGGATTAATGAAAAACTCATAAATATATAGAATCTATCAAACGTATAGGATCGATGTCAAGCAAAATAATCAATAGAATCGATATCAAACTTACTCAATTTTAGGATTGATATCGAAATAAATAATTCAACAGAATTGATGATGAACTTGTAATGAATAGATCAATATTGAGTAAGCCCCATAATCAGATCATTCAAAACTGAAAACTTGTTCATTTTGCATATGAGCAAGTGTATGATATTCACTAGCAGCAAACTCTTCTACTTTTTGCCCAATTTTATTGAAGAATGAATGCCTCTTAAGAGGGATAATAGCTTGCTTTGATGTATCAAGACTATACTGTCCTATATTATTTAATCCAAAAACTCATATATACTCATCCATTATTATCAATTGCAAATTTATAATATGAACTGGAGTATAATTGGACAATATGCTTTAATCTTAGGTTAAATAAAACAAGTGTATTGAGTACTTTACATATCAAAAGTCTTTTTTAAGATGGCAGATCTCGTTACTTCCTCACGTATATACATATTCTTTTGAAGTAAGGGCCAAAGCATAATTAGTACCTGCTGATATATTGACAATTTTAAAATTTTTGAATGAAGTATATTGTGTAAATATTGGTTGCTCAATACACTTATTATAAGAAAATCTAATAACTCCATTCTTGCCCTAATTTCAAAGAATTTAGTTCTAATTTGATAAATATATAACATCAATAATAATATGATAGAAAATCTATATGCCTTGAAAATACTTATTGCATATAAATGCCCTTGATCTGAAATAGTGAATGTTGCATTATCTCCACAAACTACTTTTACAATACTAACATTATCAAGACCTTCAGCATATACAGGTTTTACTTCTTCAACTATATTATAATTTCCTCTTTCAAATATTAATTTTGCCTCCACTGACTTAGGAGATTCAGTAAAACAACCAAGTGTACCTAAGTTATTATAATCAATAAATAAACAAATAATTATATGTTGCAATTAGGGAATTAGGTTTGAGATAAACTTACTATGATCATTAATTTCCCATGTAACAATTTTGCCATCAGAAGTAAGAGCAGCATTATGAAGTGATCCAGCACTTACAGTATATTAACAATTTGAATTCTTCTAAATTCTTAATTAATTTTCCCTATAAAAAATTTTTATCTGAATATTTCCATTATTTCTCCGTGTCTTCCATAAAAATTCCGTGAAAATGATACATTCACGGATATCCGTGTTAGCGAGATGAAAATTTCCATGATTTGAGGTTATTAATTCCATGAAAATGATACGGATAAGATTTTTTACAGGGTTTAATCTTTTTGAACATTTCAAGTCTTCTATATATATATATATATACATACCGCATTGAGAAAATTCATTAGATCCAATAATGTAAACTTGACCAATTTCTTGTGAATGAGTTGGAATTGATAAATTTGTTTTAACAGCTTTCCTACGTTTAAGTTTCAAAACAGTAATATTTGTTGACGAATTTGACTGTTTTTTTGAATCCATGGTAAGAAATTTTTTTTTTTCAATGGTAAAATAAATAGTAACATAAACAAACAGTTATTACGGTAATGCAATAAGCAGGTTAAGATATTATTTAAGTGCAATACGCGGTAAATTGACCCTTTTATAAATGATATGGCTTATTTCATGTGATAAATATACGCATTTTTTAGAGTGTGACGCAAATTTCTTTACGTAAATAATTTTGATAAATGAACCGAATCATGACTTTATTAAAATAATATGATAATAAAGTATGACCTATTCTCTTTTTTTTAAAAAAAATAAACAAATATATGAAAAAAAGCATACAGTACTGTTAATTAAAATCTGAAGCATTGGAGATTGTAAAATAACAGGATTATTTATTATGATGTGCGGGGTTACCTTGAAAATAAAGTTTAATATATAATTAACAAGATATACTGTAAAGTATTACTACTAAAACTAATTTACTATTCATCAACTTACTACTGATTATATTCAATGAATTGACATTTTTAGCACAGTATCCTCTTGAATTAAAGTATAAGTCGAATCGCACCTACAGTATTATAAAAAATATTTACTATATTTGTTAAATTGAATAATTGTTCAATGCATTCTTACAATTTCTGCCTAAAAAGAAAATATAAAAAAATATAATTATAAAAAAAATAAAAAAACAATAATCTAAAATAAATTAAATGCACTTTACTAAGCTTTCTAAATCCATTATTATTAGGATATATAATAGAAGTATAATGAACAAACACTTATATTTTTTATATTTACAAAAAAAAAATTTATAATTAAAAAATGAAATTTAATAAAAGCAATATTTCTAAATACCCACAGTTGCAAGTTTACCATCGTTATAATTAGTAAGAGGGCAGTCCAAAGGAATAATAAAGCCGTATCTATAATCGCTACTGAACGACTTAACAATGCCTAATATACGCGGTTTTAACATTATTTCTAACATATTGGTTAATAACTTTACACTATAAATTTCTTTGGAATTGCTGATTTATATATAACATTTTATTTTAAATTTACAAGAATCAAGATTTTGCAGGTTTAATAAGTAAATATAGTATTTACGATTGATTAGTTACTTTATATGTATTTCAAACACACTAACCTTTCATTATTGGTTGGTGCATTTATTCTTTTTCAACTGCATTTTATGCATTGCAAACATCGATTTATTGAATTAATTGCCGCGAAATTTTTTACTGAGGGTTTATAATATTATTAAAAAAACTGAAATATTAACATGTCCGCCGCAATCACTTGACCATATGACAAAATCATCACTTAAAGTGATATTACAGCATAGTAACGGACTCAGTTATTATAATTTATATAATTTCATGATAGAAACCTTTGCCTATTTTCAAATATCTCGATATATACAAAATCTTTATTATTCTATTGGCAAAAGTGTAACTCGTGATATTGAAATTCACATAATGACTTTATCAACAACAATTTTTCCTTCACTAGCTTTAATTAATGAAATATATGAATCTAAAAACATATCCTTATAATCTTTCTGTATATTTAAAATAAATGGCGTTAAATTATTATTTGAATTTGATTAAATTAAATAACTTACGAACATACCATCGACATTGTCCATTTCAATAATTCCCCAGAATCGGTTAATATAAACATTTTATCAAAATAATTTTTGACACCCATTGATTTAAAATTATTAATAATTTTTTCTCTATCAGCTTTTTCTTACTATATGTGCTATATTTGACGCAATAAGAGAGTCTTTAAGGAATGCTGAGAGATCTGCGGGATCTAAAATTCTTTAAATATACGAGATTTTCTTCAAAATTTAAGAACTCTTGATATTTTCCAAAAGAAGTCCTAGTATTAAAAAATAACATATGATGATTAAATAAATTAAATAAAAGTAAGAAATGAAGATAGCTACCTAAACTTCATTTTTTTTCAGTAGCGGTAGGTAATTCATTATAATCTAAAACATTAATCGTTTCTTTTTTACCATATTTTAAACAAAACAAATAAATTTCTCTATTTCTGTTAGATGCTTTATTTGAATGGATTTCAAACCCCGAATTTATAAAAAATTCTTCAACATTTAAATTTCACATAAAGATATAAATTTTCAACGTTCATGAGTCATGACTGACAATATAACAATATGAAGTTAATATTTTACGCGACTTTACTTCGAGAGCCTGTTTAACGAATGTGGGCAAGTAATGGAATTTCTATTTATACGATAATACGAAAGCTTGTTTAACGAATACGGAAAACGCGTATGTTTATAATTTACTATTTTCTTCACGCACAAATCAGATTTATGAACACCACATGTACTTTTTGACTGATATAAACTGAAGTAGAAAATGAAATGCATATATAACAATTGATTTGTTGAAATCAGAAAACTAGTTGCAGAAGAAAAGAAAACGAACAGAGAAATAAGGTTGAATAACTTATGGAAATTTAAATCAAAGAAAACTCAACTTTAAAAGATGAAAATGAAAAATTCTAAGATCAAATAAAAATTTATAGTGAAGGAATTGTAAAACGATATTGCTATGAGAATTTCCGGGCAAGTGAAACCTGAAATTGACACATTTTTTTAATTATTTTGAACCATCTAAAGAATCACGACCATAACGTGAGTGCTCAATATGGGCCGCGTTTGATCGAGTTTATTTTTCTATTATCTGTATGTGCAACGTATAAATAACCATGATATAGAATGACGTATTTCTGATGGTTGTTTTTAATTTATCAGGAGTTTCGAAAGTTTGTCATTATTAAAAAGTCATTATTAAAAAAATATATATAAGTAATGAAACGTAAAATATGTTTAATATATTTTCATTCGTACTTGTCAGCCAAAATGTCTGAACCTTCTAATATTTTTAAAAAAGTTTTCAAAAAAATTTCCAATAGAAATAATAGAAATACAGGTTTGTGGTATTAAACCTTCGTAATTTTAGGAATTCAATATGATTTATTTGTTTGCTTTGATGGCAGGTACTGAAAATTTTAATGAAGAATCTCAAGGTATTATTAAGCAGTGGAAAAAAATTGTAAAACAAAAGCATAAGAAAGATAAAAATAATGAAGATGTTGATACGTATTACGAGGCCCACTCTTACTGATTGAGTGGGATACAATGGGAATTGGGAATAGCGGCCAGAACCATAGCAAATCCAGCTAATACCAACTTAATTATTAGTAATTGTATATATAAATCGTAAATATTACCTTATTTGATTATTTTTTAAGAATTCTTTCTATTTTTCTTATTAGTAATTCGAGCTCAACAGGGTTACACCCAGTTCCCGCCTCTACCCGGACTTCCGTCTGATTGCGCCTTCTCGTTTGACAACGTGGGTGGTTTCCAACCACATCAAAACTTAAATAATGCCATTGCGGCTGTTGGGGCATACCTCAACAGCCCAAATGGCATTTGGGCGAAACATACCCCATTAATACCAGACCTTGGACGAGTTTACCAGATCGAAGTTCCACGAAAAGGTGAATTTCACGTAACTGAGCACACATTATTGTTTAATGTTTAAAATTTATAATTTGGTACGTATCAAGAATAATGGTATTTGTAAATAATTCGTGATTAATTTGACTAATTTTTGATATAAAAATTACAGAATTAGATAAGAAAATATTGTGTAGTTTCTCGAAATCAATCCCCTTCCCTCCCTCCTTCCCTACTTTAAGTATAATATAAATGGACTTCCTACAAAAATTGCTCAATTTTTGAATTTTTTTAATATCAAAAACATCACCTTTGATGGAGTTGTTGATACACATCTTTCAAGCTTAAGATAAAAAATATTATTACTGTAAAAGAGCGCATCAGATTTGTGTAATAGCTATTTTATATTAATAAAGAAATAAGGATTTAACTACATCATCATGTGATTTTGTATATGTTTAGATACACTCGATAAATGAAGTAATAATACATTAGATGCCTGGAGGACACATCCCTTGTGAATTTCGTGTTTCTCGAGGAGTAATGTTCCAACATTATTGAATTTATTTTTTCGTATGTATGAAGTATAAAATCGATTTTGTATAAAATGTTTTCTTGTCGAAAAATCACATGAACGTGGTTCTGGCCAAAAATTACGCCTATTGCTTCGTAGGGGGTTTCCCACTAATTGTTGACAAATACAGTTTAACCGTTCCGAAGTTAATCTGATGAAATGACAAATTGATATGACACCAATTAATACTAATGAAGTAATAAAAATGAAGTTGTTACTGAGAAATACACTGTTTATTGTCAATATCGCACAAGATCTAAAAATGGAATTTTTCTTTATTATGTAGAACGGATGGTGCTATAGTACCCCCTTTACATTTCATAGAATCGAGATCAGGGCCAAAATGCCGTCAGATTTTTTTGTAAATCTATGGGTTAGATCGTGGGAATAGATCAATTGAATAATTAATCTGTCGACTTTTTTTTCAGAAAGTTCTGGCATAATACACATATTATGAATCATTGAATTGGCATTACGCAAATTGATCCGATGTCACATCAAGATCTAAAAATAAAAGCATGCATTTCAGGCCGATCGATTTCACATGATAAAAATAAGCGAACATAAGATAAAATGGCGTAGTCGAATCACACGTGTCTATTTACGCGGTATATGGACACGGCCATATTTAGTTTATTAATACATTGTTAAAACATAATTATATGAAATCACTGTTCATTAAACTATAATTTTCTTCAATAACGTAATAATTATTTAAATTACTGATTATTATTTCTTTCCTCCTCCTCTCTACCCAGGCCTTAATTAAAGCAAGACTTCATCATCAGGTCTTTTTGTTTTATTGGAACAAAATTTCTGTAATGTTCGCCTATCAATATTTATCATCCTTATGGAATTAGTTCCAATTTCTGCCACCATGTTTGTCCACGGAACTCCAATTGTTAAAAGAGCATAACAAAATTGTTTAGTTTCTTATCTAAATCTTGATACTCTATTAAATTATCAGTTGTAAGTTTATCATGTTGCGCGTAAAGTTGCCTGCCGAAACTAAAGAGTTTCGACATGTCGAAATTGTCGAAACCGTTTCGGCGTGTCGACATAGTATATCATATGATATACTGTACATATAGTTTCGGCATTACTCTATTCGGTTAGGATTGGTCAGTCATACTGATCATCGATAATCAATATGTAAAAAAAAAAATATTTCAGTTTTATAAACTTGGACATGGACAACATGGACATTAAGGTATAAAGCGGGTATTCTTTTTTAAATTTATTATAACTTAAGAAATATTTTCTAACGAAAAATGAAATATTATAGGGATACCAGCTTTCTTGGAATTGACGAAACCGGAATTTACGAACAGCCGGACAGGTAAAAGGAAGGTTTTTAAAAAAATTTAATGTTTTAAGAAACGTTTTTAACGTTTCTTTTTTCTTTTTTTTTTCGTTTGTAGGGATACCGGCTTCTTGGTATTGGACGAAACCAAACTTAAGACGAAATGACACCTGAAAAAGAAAGTTTAAGTCTTTTTTTTGTTGGTACTTTAGGAACAAATATCTGGATACTTGGAGGCGAAAGGTGAGATTAGAGAAAGCAGGCAAATCAATTGAGAAACTAAAAGATAGTGAAAGATATCAAAGAGAAATATCCAATAATGCTATTAATCAGCGAACTGAGATTGAGGAAGAAAGAAACAAGCTAGCTAAGGAGATCATATTGTGTTTGACTTAGAAAAGATTTCTTCCTATGATGTCTGGTCATTTTAAATATTTTTTAGATATAAGATATAGGATATTAAGAAATATTAAGGTTGAAAACTAAACTTAGAAATGAAAAATTTAAATGATAAAATGGCTAGGGGCGATGTTGCCAGTAATGATTTGAAGCAACAAATAAAAAACTTACAGAACTCTATTGATAACAATATGAAAGAAATTAAAAAAGTCAGTGAGATTAGGAAAGAACGAGATGCTTTAAAACAAAGAATTTGACAATCTTGGATAGTAGATTTGTGTGGTTTATCTACCTCTTCAACGGCTAGATTTTATTCTAAAATAAATAATGAATATATTTTAAGAAGAGCTTTCTTCACGGGTAATCATGAAATGGAGGATATTTTTTAATTATCTTTGGTTATAGAACGTTTACTAACGTTCTATATATTTTTTTGTAGTAATAATAACCTTCTTGGAGACGAAATTGGTACTTGAACGTGAAATGTAAGTGTGGGGTTTACTTTTCTTTGGTTACAGAACGTTTGCTAACGTTCTTTCCTTATTTTTTTTTTTAGTGACGACTTCTTGGAGATAAAATTGACACTTGTGTCACAATACTGTATATCGTGTTCTACCTTTCGAGGCTTTCGTTAATTCATTTGACTAAGGGGTTTTTATAAAAAAAGGTTTTATGTATTTTCTTTTTTAAATATTTGCATAAATATTTTTTTTTTTACGAAAATTTTAAAAACTTTTAAATACTATATACTATTTTTTTTGGGATGTTACAAATTACAATCAATCTATTTGTCTATAAACTTTATAATCTTATTTTATATACAGTATCACGAGAGTGATATTTTAACTTATAAGTATAAAGATAATGAGGGTTGCCTATCATGAGATGTTCTGTGTAATTTCAACGATAAATTTGTGTATTTTAATCATCTCTTTCGGTTAAGAAAATTCTGCAGTATTAATTAGATTAAAATTGTCATCATTCCAAAAATCCGTTTTTCACAACGCGTCATTCTTTGACAAAAAAAAATTTTTTTTATTCTCTATAAAGATGACTACTAATAAACGTAAAGGAGGCTGCCCGCAGAATGAAGTAATGAAGTATGGGAGCATTATACGCAAGGCGAGCGTGATTCAGAAGGGCATGCAAGTGAGACTTGTAAATTTTGTGAAAAAATTTTTAGCAGAGTGATGTGTCTACATTACAGGGACATATTGCAAACCATTGTCCAAACGCCCCACCTCACTTAATTCGAAAGTATCAAAAAGTATTTGAAGAGAAAGCGGACAACAATAAAAAAAGAAAATTTTCTAATCAAACATCTTTATATGATTATCATGATACTGATGAACCACTACCTCAAGGAAGAATTGATTGAATCAACAGAGCTTTGTTAAAGTTCTTTGTATGTTGTGGAATTTCTTTTCGTGTAGTAGAATCACCATTTTTTATAGTGAACTTAACGTTGCATATGACCCTCCATCTCGGGAACTATTGGCCAATCGCTTATTTGAAGATGAATTAGGGAATGTTAATTCTAAAATTCATAAAGAATTGCAAATGTCAGACAATTTAACATTAGGTATTTTACTTAAAAAAAATTTTTGATGAAAATTTGTTGATATATTTAATTTTTAATATTAGCTTTAGACGGGTGGTCATCTCCTAACCATAGATCTATATGGAATTTTACTCTACTAACTCCAAATAGAAAAGAATATATTTCAACTTTCTGATCTATCTAGTGATTCACACACAGGGGAATATATTGTGAAGATGTTATCAAAATTTTCAGCTATTGTTAGTGACAATGGATCTAATGTTTGAAAAGCACGTGAATTAACTGAAAAAAAATTTCCAAACAATAATGAATGTTTGATGCATTTCACACTATATAAACTTAATGTCATGTGACATAGTTCAACATCCATTCGCTGATAAGCTTCTAAAAAAAGTGAATATTTTAACAACATTCTTTAGAAATAATGCTAGAGCAGGTAAAAATATTTTAAACCTAAATGTAATAATTTTATTTTAATAATTTGCTAAATTGAATTTCTTTTTTTTTTTACAAAAAAAATTAGGTGCTAAGTTCTGGGAACTTTTAAACACAATGAATATTAAAGGTGGCGTAATCATGCTTTACTGCAAAACAAGGTGGACGACTGCTTATAAAAGCATTGATGATGTTTTGAGAGTAAAAGCTGTTCTAGAAAATGTAAATAAAACTAATTTTATTATTTATACTATTATTATATGATTAATAAATTTTTCTATAGATGGCAGCCAATTACTCAGATTTATTAACAAATGATAAAATTAACCCTATCATTTGTTTGTGGAATTTTTTTAATGAGTTGAAGGTTCTTGGATTTGTTCTAAATCTATTGTATAAAACTGTGTTAGCATTAGAAAGGAAAGAAGCAGATTTAAGTGATTGTTACTTAGAATTAGCTTGAATTTCTCTTGTTATTATGTCAATTTTATTCAGAATTTTGTAATTATTGTATTGAAAAAATTAATGCATGTTTCAATGAATTTGATGATAATGATTACTTGCTAGCATTTTTTTTGAACCCTCTTTTTCAAGGTATTGATTTATTTATTTATTTTATTATATTTTGACTTTAGTTACTATAATAATTAAATAATATTAAAATTAAATATATTTAATTAGCTGAACCCCTAAAACAAGGAATTTGGATGTAAATAGTAGTTAAATATACTGAAGTAATAGCACAAAAATTAGGGATGATTTGGCTAAAACTTGTACTTTTTGCTCTCATTTATTGAAATATAAAAATAAAGAAAGTCCTTTAATCAACCATATACAGAGGGAATAGATAATCCAATTAAGTGGTAGTCAAGTATAGAATTAGAACCACCTTATTTACAACAACTTGCAATTCACTTATTTTCAGTTTACCCTAATAGTGCCAGCTATGAATATGAATTTTCAATTTGTGGTTGGCTCTTAAACAAAAGGTATCTTAAACTTGGTGTAGAGCAATTAGAATCAATGTTAAATTAATAATATATTATAGGTCAAATGCATCTTACAAACTAGCTTTTTATGAAAAAGATGTTAAAAAAATTTTACAGAAATTTAGTAATAACGAATTAAATAATATTATAAATGAAACCTTAGCAGAACAGCCAAAGCTTGCAGAAGAAAATGATAATGAAATCGCATTGGAAAAAAATTAAGGTGTACGAAGAACAACTGATAGACATATAATTCCAAATAATAAAATAATGGTATAGATCGAAAATATATTAGATCTGTCCAATCCAAGAATTTAAATAGATTGAAAAATTTTGGAGAGTTTTCAGAAAAGAAGGAAAACAAAATAAATGGTAATGTGAATGGAAATAATCAAGATGATAATGAAGTAGTGGGGAGGGGTATATTAAATTATAATGTTGATGATTTGGTAGAAGAGTTTGATAATTAATAATAATTATATTGAAAGTAGATATTATACTTTTTTTTTTTTTT